CTGCTGTGATTTATGTCGGAGAGTGTTTTGCCTATGTTCTCCTCTAGGAGTTGTATAGTTTCTGGTCTTACATTTAGATCTTTAATCCATTTTGAGTTTATTTTTGTGTATGGTGTTAGAAAGTGTTCTAGTTTCATTCTTTTACAAGTGAAAGGAACTTTTAGTATGCTCAGCTTCCCCCACACTCAGGGTGACGCTATCCCTGGAAGGTAGAGGGTAGAGACAGTTGGACCACTGAGGATCCACTGTCAAGATACAGACATTTCTCCATCCTGTACCAGACATAGCATTAACAGAAGGGTCTGGGTGCGATCCATCAGCTGGACTAGCATCTAAGAGCTGGAAAAACCACTAACCAGTATTCAGAGTGGGAGGAAAGAGACAAAACAAGAGATCTGGTTATCGGGAAGCTTGGCACTTAGGGCTCACTAAGGGTAAACTGAAGGGAATGGGGCTGTGGTGGAAACTTTCCTAAGATATTTTATCAATAAAGAAACAACTTCTCCCAGTGGGATTTATAAGAGCCATAGCATAAATAGTGGCATGTTGGCCGCGGGTCCCAGCAGCTCGGGCAGCGGGAAGAGCGGCAGCGGTCAGGCTACTCAGCCTTGCGGAGGCTCTATGCGCGCCGCGGCCCTCAGGCTCCCAGCTCTAGCCTGCCCAGCCACCGCCGCGATGCCCAAGAGGTAGGTCAGCTCCACAGAGAGGGCGGCGAAGGAAGAGCCCAAGAGGAGATGGGCGAGGTTGTCAGCTAAACCGGCTCCTGCAAAAGTGGAAGCCAAAAAAGGCGTTGGGAAAGGATAAATCTTAAGACAAAAAAATGCAAACAAAAGGGAAAAGAGGAGCAAAGGGAAAACAGGCGGAAGTGGCCAACCAAGAGACTAAAGAAGACTTACCTGCAGAAAACGGAGAGACTAAAATCGAGGAGAACCCAACCTCTGATGAAGCAGAAGAAAAAGAAGCCAAGTCTGATTAATACCGCACACCCAGTCCGGTCAGTGGTCCCTGTTTCCCTTCTTGTACAATCCAGGGGAATATTTTTATCAAGTATTTTGTAAGTGCAAGTTTTTTAGTAGCTCTGAGACATTTTTAAAAAGGAGGAAATCCCACCTCATCCCATTTTTAAGTGTAAATGCTTTTTTTAAAGAGGTGAAATCATTTGCTAGTTTTTTTTTTGTTTTTTTTTTTTTGGTACAACCAGAAAATAGTGGGATATTGGATATGGAAGGCTTTGATTGTCTTGGGTGTCAGCTTAACATTCCATAGATGGGGTAACTTTTATATCCTATAATACAAAAGCATACTAAATGGCAATTTGGAGTCAGTTGTGCGTTTAATGTCTTGAACACTTTAAATTACTCCTCTTTCCATATTGTTTTGGTAGAATTATTTCCTATAGCAAACTACTCCTTGATCTTGGCTCTCCTGGTCAGAGTTTTGCGTACTCTATATCTTTGGTCGTGGTAGTTAAGTTTTCCTAGTAACTTGGTTAATGTGCTGTGAATGATTGACAGTTTGAGTATGTAGTGTCTATGATAGTAAATGGTGAATCAGTGGGACGTATGATGTAACAGAATATCAATATTTGAAGATAATTGGTACTTGATATCCTGTTAAGGAAAATTTGCTCCAAATTTTAAGCTGGAAAGTCACTGGAATAACTGTTAAGAATCACAATTACATGATTTTTTCAATTTCTGGTATGTATGTGAAGAATTCTGTACAAACTGAAATGTCTGTTTAGTGATCCTCAAAACAACCAATAAAAACTCAATTATAAAAGAAGAAAACAACAGTGACATGTTGTGTGTAGGGGAGTGGTTACTATGACATAAATTGCTCAATATAGTAAACCAATCCCTTTTTTCCTCTAATTGATGGTTCGGTTTAAGAATATGAGGGTCAAGGGGAGAAGACATCAGAGAGCATTAATGTTTGGAAATATGCCCCCCCAGGCCACCCTGTGGGCATAATCTCGGATGGGCCCTGTAATCCCATCCTTGTTCTGGAGCCCGATTGGAGAAGGGTTCTTCTGGAGCCACTGTCATGCAGGTGGCCTGTGCCATCCATGCCTCCTCTGCCCTTGCGTCCCTCTGGCCAGGCTGAAGTTGGCCCAGAATCATCCCCTGTCACCTGCGACCATGCTGTAGTCCCTCATGAGTAAGATGTGGTCTCTATGACAGTTTTTCTGAAGTATTTTTCTGCCAGGTTCCTATTATGCACAACACAGTACCAAGAGCACTCCATCAAATGCCTGTTAAATGAGTTGAATAAATGCAAAAAGTCAGTGCCCCCCTTTTAAAGTAGGGCACATTTTTGTATTTTTCAATAAAGAGGGGAATTCTCAGCATCTTTGTTTTCGTGTGTCAAATGGGGTTAAGTGTGAACAGATGGGAATTTCTAAGAGAATGTCATTCACACAGAATGGCAAGGAGGCCTCCTATTAGGAGGTGCCATCCCCCGGTCATTGGCAGTGGGCCTGTGTGCATAATAGAAGTTTTCCAAGTACCCAAGGTATGTTTATACTGACTCATACTTTTTTTTCCTCCACCTCCCATTATCCCATCCTCACCCTCACCCTTTGGTATTGCATGCACATGCAAGATAGGGTGGGATGAGTCCCCTGTGAGAGAACAGTTTATTTCCAGGCAGGGTAGAGTCCCACCATGGTAATTTAAACATTCAGCCCAATGCTGGAAACATGGGACGCTTCCTAAGAGGCTACATTACAGGGATTCATGGGAAGGTGGCAGCTGAGCATTCATCCCACATGCTCCAAATTCTGTTCACTGTTCCCTCTGGGGATAAGATGGGGGAATGGGAGTCCTGGCACACAGGTTCTGCTGCTTCAAAGGCAACACAGAGGAGACCCCATAAGGCCAGTGAGGTGTATTGCACCTTCCTCAAAAGCAATCACACCTTCAAATGTATTATCTTCCTTGAGATAACCTTGATTCCTGCTAATTCAACACCAAAATGGATTATTTTGGTTTAGTGCTGTGCAAAGCAAGAAGAGCAGCTTCCCAAGCAGCATCCTCAGACCCACTTTTTAAAAAGCATTAAGTTCTCAGTACAGCCTTGGCTCGGAGCAGTGCAAGTCTTCTGTAATGTTCAGTTCAGTTCAGTCACTCAGTCATGTCTGACTCTGTGACCCCATGGACTGCAGCACGCCAGGCTTCCCTGTCCATCACCAACTCTCAGAGCTTGCTCAAACTCATGTCCATCATGTCAGTGATACCATACAACCATCTCATCCTCAGGA